TCCATTCCCTTCTCTTTTCTTTTCCCTTCATCATCCCACCTGTGATCGCCTGTACCCCGATAACGCTCCGGGAAAGCTAGAGAGCCACTCTCCTTCAGATTCAGCCAAGGAGCAATGCAATGACAAAGAGGGTGGGGAGACTAGCGATCGATATATCAGGCTCCTCCCGATTGGCCGATCCACATTGCCAGGTTGCATCGCAGCTGCTGATTGGCTGTTGCAGTGTTCCGTGCTCAGCAGCTGCAGCTATGGGGATTTGCCCTTCCTGTCGGCTGCTCTACTTCCTTTTTCAATCACAAAAGCCATGTTTAGATCCCGAACTCTGAGTCGCGCCAGAGTCGTAAAGTGACGTTGCTGTCTCCCATGTGTCCGCGCTCTCTCTCTCTGTGTCCCTTTTCCTGCCTCCTCCCTCTTTTCCCTCCCTCCCTGTATCTCTTAATCAAGACACAGCCTGCCCTTTCCTTTGCATTGCTGCCTGCCTCCCGTCTGCACTCCTTCTCTACCTCTTGTGCACTTTCTCACTCGCGCTTACTGCCATGCGCTTTCAGCCTCTCTCTGTTTGTCGCTCACCTCTGTATTCCCCAGTTACAGGTTTGCGACATAAACAGCTGCGGCTTCAGGCATTTCCTTTGTTGTTTTGTACTTTTATCGCGTGTATTTTGCGAAATGTTTCTTTTGCGAAGTGTTTTGACTGTTCTGAACGGGACAAGCTGTTTTAACTGAGTTTGTTGATTTTGTTTTTGTGTCTTTTCGCAAATACAGGACTCCTGCCACAAAGGACTCTCTTAGAAGTGCGTGAGGACACAGCACAGTGCGATGAAAGGGACGCAGGGAGAGCAGGAGGGATGAGAAAGCGATTCAAGTGAAAGAAGACTCACATCACCATAAAGTGCCTCATCTGGATGCTGCGGAAGCCCTTCTCTGTGTCCGCTTCGGAGCGCTCTCTCCCCCGCTGACTTGAGCACGTGCGTGTGCGCTTGGCCTTGGCTCGGGCTATATTTCACCCTGACAGTCAATCAACCCATTTGCCTGTTCCTCGATTCCAGCTCTGCCTGCTCGCCATTTCACCTCTTAATACAAGGACGCCTGTCGATTAGTTTCCCTTTTGGGTTCTCAAAGTGTCTCTCTCTTCACTTCTGCAATCTCTCCATCCCTTGCGACCCAGACATGAGAGTATCTTTAGGGACTGCTGCGCCTATGGCAACAGGGCAGGGGGTTTCGGAAGCCTAAATTTAGAGAAAGTCCGTTTTACATCAATGCAAGAGGGCTATTTTAAACCCAGAGCTCCGGAGGGTGAGTCTAGACAGTGGGGCGACCACTGCAGACAAATACAAAGTGCCGCTTTACTCTACTTTTAATGCCTCGTTTTCCTGGACGGCAGCCGAAGATGCACCGCAGCATGTCACATTGACCTACTCCACCTCAGCACGCTCGATTCATCGCTCTCCCTACCTGACTTTAAACTGATCTCATATTCTCGTTTTACTTCCTCACTGGCTGATCAGCAGACTATGCCCCCTTCCTGTCCATAAGAGAGTTTGGTTTTCATTTCTAGACTGGTAGTCTGAGGATCTCCTTGCCACTGTGCTCATATTTTGCAGCTTTTGTGCTTCATCACGCCTGGCTGCCCCACCCCAGCCCTCCGCTCACCCACCGCTCGCCGAGGGACCGCCATGGCCGTCAATGTGACCATGGGTCGCGACACCAAGTGGCTGACGCTGGAGGTGTGCAGAGAGTTCCAGCGAGGAACCTGCTCGCGTTCGGACACTGAATGCAAGTTCGCTCACCCCTCTCGCACCTGCCACGTGGAGAACGGCCGCGTCATCGCCTGTTTCGACTCTCTCAAGGTAACCCGGATGCACGTGCACACAAACACTAAAGTTTGTTTTACTATTGCACTGATATATTAACCACGAGAGCATTATTTGATGTTTTGGTGCAGATTTCATCATTCACACATGCTATTTGGACATTTTGTCAGATATCCCTAACACCTCCAGCCTCTTTTGCTGAGTAGTGATCTCTCTCCTGTCCTGAAATCAGCCTTTGAGTGTATTTTTCTGTCGGATTCAGACTAAAACACTGCAACCTCTGGTCATGGATTGGTCAATTTTGATAAAACGTACCGTGGTGGACAGTCAACAAATGTTCAAGATGAGGTTAGGATTAGCAAATGTCAAAGTTTACAAATATGTAATTGAAAAAAGCATATTGATTGACTACCAGTGAATTCTGAGAGTGTTTTACTTCCCAGAGTATTTGCTATGGTACTATGGTATATCCAAAAAACAAGCTAATGCCATGGGGTTATCTACTAAACCATCTATGGTAATTTTTGGTACTTTTTATGTTTAAATAATGCTTTTCTTTGGAAGCATGATGGAGCCATTTTAGAGGGAACAGGAACAGTTCATTAAAAAAAAATCTGTCATCATTAACTCCCCCTTATGTCACTCAACTTTTATGACTTTCTTCTATGGAACTCAAAAGGAGGAATTTTGAAGAATTTACTGGAATTTACCTTTTTATGCCATGCAGTTATAAAGAATAGGAACTGGAGCTTTGATGCTTCAAAAAGTGAAAAGTTTGGTCAGTAAGTTTAAAAAAAAAAAAAGAAATTATTACTTTTATTTGACAGAGATGCATCTAAAGTGACTGTACAGATATTTTAGTTACAAAAGATTTCTATTTCAAATGAATGCTGTTCTCTTGAACTTTCTAGTCATCAAAGAATGATGACTAGAAAATGAAAAATATATATCTTAAAAATATTAAGTAGCACACTTGTTTTCAACATTCATAATAATAAATGTTTCTTGAGCAGCAAATCAGCAAATTATAATGATTTCTGAAGGATGTGACACTGAAGACTGGAATAATGATGCTGAAAATTCGGCTTCGCATCACAGGAATAAATTACATTTTAAAATATGTCCAAATAGAAAACAGTTATTTTAAATTGCAATAATATTTCACTAGATTACTGTTTTAACTGTATTTTTGATCAAATAAGTGCAGCCTTGGTGAGCAGTGAATAGGAATTCTATGTCGGTCTGATTCATGAATGAATCATTCATGGCTTTGTGAATCAGATTAACTGATTTATTGAAAAGATTCGAATGATTAATTAATTAATTGAATGTCAATGGTAGTCTCAGTCTCAGATGTCATTTCCACAGATAGTTGGCTGAATGTCTGATGCATATGGCACACAAAATTGGAAACACTTCAGGAGTTTCGAAGTCATCATCTGATTGGATGAATTCTACAGGATTTCCGGAAGACGTGTGTGTTGCAGTCTTTAACATTCCGCCTGGAAACAAAGATGCCGTAACGCCAAACTCCCTCATCGAAGAAGAAAGCCGTCGTGTTTACAACTGTGACAATAAGCGCTTATCAGGATCAACTAAACACTGGATTTTCAAAAGTATGTGAAATATGTAAAGTTTGCGACATAGACTTTTTAAAATACGTCCAAGAGTTTTACACACCGCTCTGTTATTGTGGTTACATTTCCACGCTCCTAAATATGACGTGGCACAAAAAACAAAACATGATTGGTTGCTTTACCTGTCTGTAAAATGGCCTCTTGGGCGGTCCTTGTTAGGGCTGTGCGGTATGATGGTATATATCGTTACTGTGAAATAAAGTGTCTATCGTTAGAGATTTTGCTATATCGTGTATTCCGCGGTATGCAAATATATCTGCGTAACACAGTACTGCTTGCAAGTTATACACCTTTTGAGTGATAAGGAAACATGCATGAATGAGAAAATAAAGAGAGGGACGCACTTGGTAGAGTTATTAAGTGCAATAAGCAGTGAAAAAGAACTCAATGCGGTGCTCACGCTGACTGACACACAGCCGAAACGCGCGCACTGAAAGCCCCTCTCTCGACAGCATGCGATCGCGAACACAAATCTCTTTCATGTTTTATTGTGCTTGAATGCTCAAATACGCACACAGTAATGTCATAATGCCCGTCGTGTGGAGTATTCAAGTAAACACAGTCGGTTATATGTTAAATAAATGTAAAACAGTTGGGTGAAAACTGTGTTTCAGTATATTAGATCCGTGCAGTCGGTCTTAAAGGGACAGCAGCCTTATTTACCTGCTGCTGTCTGTCATTATTAATGTTAATCATGTTTGATTGATACAGTGAAGACTATGCAGTGTTTTATTTATACACTTTATTCAATTTCATATTTATTTGTTCTGTTGTGAAATAAAATTTATCATATCGTGAAATAAGATTTTGGTCATATCGCCCACCCCTAGTCCTTGGCCAGTCAAATCAGCCAAGGTTCCCAGTCCTTCTGCCGTCAGTCTGAAGGTCTGGCTACGCGAGACTGTCAATGGTGGATGTAAAAACATAAAATTCATTTTGTTTCTTCCATAAAGCCATTGTACGCCATTAGACAACTTCGGCACACAAGCCATATTAATTATTTTTATGATGCATCTATGGTGTTTTTGAATACTTTTGGGACTTGCAGTCCTCAGCATTCATTGTAATTGAATGAAAAGTAACAAACAGAACATCAGATAACATCTCTTTTGTGAATATTCTCAGTTTTAAATGAGATGGTCATTCTAAATTATATTTTGAACATCAAGTAAATTTACAGAATTTTCATTTTTGGATGAATTGTCATAAATGAGATCTTTTGTCGGTTCATCAATTTATAAGCTCACGCTTGTTATACCTTTTATTTTCTGATTTGTCCATGTTAATCTCAGGAAGCAGCAGCACACTAGACTGTGGCTCAATCAGAACTCACATTAACCGTGGCGCTCAGCATTGTGCTATGAACACAACAAATGGGTTTGTGTGTTTATATCTCTGCGTATGTGTTTATGTGCAGCGAAAGAGCCAGACAAGGCCCTCTCTGTCTGAGTGCAGCAGCTGTCTCCTCCTTTATTGAGCTAGAATGTATTATTTGGCCATTTTTTGGCTGTGTGCAGCGTGTGTGGGGAAGCTCAGGAGGAGGAGTGAGAGAGAGAGAAAGCTACATGAGGCCTAGCAACAGCGCCGACTGACTGGATACAGTAATCCCTCTGAACCGTGTTACAGTTGTTAGCACTGGGCGCCAGTGACCTGTGTAGATTACTTGCTCATCCAATTGTTTGATTGTTTTTATCAGAACGGTAAACGCAGCCAGCCGTCACTATCTAAAAACTCAGGGTTAGATTGCTGTTATGACTGAGAGAGGGAGGGAGATAAAATAAAGCTAGAGAAAATAAATGAGAGAAATCGTTTGTGATGTTTTTGTGTGTGTGTGTGTGTGTCTGAGGAGTTTTAATGGTGCCTGCTGAAGTGCTGAGGAGAGGTGCGCTTAAAGTCGGCATGAAACGGAAATTGTGATCGTCTTTTCTCTACTGTTAGGACATATCTGAGTAAAAAGAATTCTTGAACATGAAAAAATGTAGGGTGGGACTTGATTTCGTCTGTCAGAAACTGATTGGATTGTTGTCACTTTCCTTTCATGAATAAAAAATGATAAGTAGCACATTATTTTTGTAGTCCCTGTTCCACATGTACATACTATGTACTTATTATAGTAATTGCAATAACTGGGTAATAACTAAGTACTAACCCTGAACCTAAACCTAACCTTAATCGTTTAGTTACCTTATATTACAATGTAAGTACACACACTGTAAAATAAAGTGCAACAAAATTATGTGCACAGGTAAAAAATGTATATTAAACACTAGGGCTGGGTATCGAGTTCGATACTTTTTAGGCACCGACCGAATTGCCTCGATACCATCGAGTATCGAAAAACGTCTTGTCGTTCGGTACCAAATTTCGATACCTAAGGGGTTAATCTCATCAGCGTCAGTGAGCCAATAAACCTGCAGCACTTGCTGGTGTGTTCGACTAGAGGCGCGGCGCAGATCGATCATCCGCGAGAGCGATTCGAAAGCACACGGAGCAGTCTGCTCTCTTTAGCCCTCGTGGTACTGTAATACCACCAGTATGGGAAGCCAAACAACTCAAATGTGGGACGAAACAGCGCGGTATTAAAGTGTTCGCGCCGCGCTGACCTGT